GGCCTTGGGTTGAATTCCCCGCACTGCAAAATAAATTAACAAAGTATGTGAATTGGTCTGATAGTATAAAACAGTCCTAGACCTAGGATCCAGCTTTATAATAGGTGAAACCAGAGGCAGTAAGTCATTGTCAAATTAAGTTACAAACCAGAGGGAAAGAAATCACTCTGCATTGATGATTAGAAAATGGATTTAACAGGCAAAAGGACCTAGAAGAGCCCAAGCAGATTAAGACATCCTGGGCATAGTGGCACATGGGTGTAATCCCAGCAAGGAAGCTAAAGCAAGAGGATCAAAAATTCAAGGCCAGCCTCAGCAACTTGGTGAAGTCCTAAGAAACTTAGTGAGATCCTGTCTCAAAACAACAAAAGAGTTAGGGATATTGCTCAATGGTTAAGCACCCCCTGAGTTAAATGCCCCCCCAACCAAAAAAAAAAGGAAAACAAGGAATGGTAAATGGTGGTCTGTTTACCCTTTTTTTAAGGCTGTTAAGGATTCAGAGGCATAAAAAAGCAATTAAGGGAATCCTCCTGGAGGGAAAGGATGTTGGTTAGAGTATGTGTCTCTAGTAGGGGGGCTAGGTGTGTGGTTGACTGAGAATAATAACTAGTCTCTTGCCATGCACAGTGGGTTCTGCCTGTAATCTCAGCAACTTAGGAGGCTGAGGCAGGAGGATCACAAGTTATAGCCCAGCCTCAGCAATTCAGTAGGGCCCTAAACAACTTGACAAGACTCTGTCTCAAAAAAAATAAGATAAAGGGCTAGGTAAGTAGGTCAGTAGTTAAAGCACCCTTAGGTTCAATACCCAGTACCCAAAATTAAAATCACTAGTCCCTTAACAAGATGAAGCCACTGAAGGCTTCTGACTATTCTATAGTAATATGACCATAAGCGTCTATTTCACTTTGTTAAAAACCTTAAACTCATCTACACTAGTCTGATCCTATCGTTTACTGAGTACAAAGTGCTCAAAACTATCTTGCTTTCCCTCACTTTGAAATAGATCCTTCTCAAAGGTGACCCTTTTTCAATTAGTTTAAAGAGTACATAGGAAGGACTAAATTTCCCTAATGAGACTGTAACCTTCTCTTCATGACAAAGCCTATAATTTCCTCATAAACCATCTGCCCCAAAGTGTTAGTGGAAAGAAAAGATTGGGAAACACTTCCACCCTCCATTGTAAAGTCCACTGTTATCTCATCCCTAATAAAACACACGTCATTTTTCCTTATTTTTTTATAGTGACAATAATTTATTTATTACTTGTTTTTTTAAAATATACATGATAGTAGAGTTTATCTTGCCTACTACACACACATGTAGTATAACTTATTAGGATCCCATTCTGTGGTTGTACATAATGTGGAGTTACACTGGTCATATATTCATAATGGACATAGACAATGATATCTGATTTATTCTTTCTTATTCCCATACCCCTTCCTTCCCTTCATTCTCTTTGTCTAATCCAACTAACTCCTATTGTTCCCTACCCACCTTATTGTGTGTTTGCATTGGCATATCAGAGAGACATCCTTCCTTATTAAAAGAGGAAAGTTGTGCTACCCTAATACTATCCAAAGCTTCTACAAGTCTTTTCAAAGTATTTGAAAGATGTAAATTTATTCTGTAGGCCACAGTATCACTGCATTTAGGCTGAATGGACATTCAAGCCAACCCTTATTAAGTGACTTGTCATTCACCCTAGTTCTGCTACTTAATACCTAACTTTATAAAGTAACAATGTTAACGATATGGCAGTTACTATATGTCAGGCACTATTCTAAATAAATGTTTACATTAATTGATTTAAATCATTACAGCAACCCAGTAATATTTTACAGTAATAAAGTATACAGTAGTAAAGTATTACTACTATCCTCACTTTATGTGTGTGTGTAGTGCTAGGGATTAAACTCAGAACCTCATGCACACTAAGCAGGAGTCCTAATACAGAGTTAGGCCCCAGCTTTTTTTTTTTTTTCCTTTTCCTTTTTTTAAACAGATGGGGTCTTGCTATGTTGCCCACACTGGCCCCAAACTCCCAGACTCAAGAAACCCTCCTGCCTAAGCCTCCGGAATAGCTGGAACTACAGGGTGTCCCACAATACCCAGCTTTCTGCCCCCATTTTATAGTCGAGAAAACCAAAGCAGAGAGAGTAAACAATCTTCCCAAGATCACACCTCTGGTGAACAGTAGAGCTGGGATATGAATTCCGGCAGTAGGCCCAAAGTCAGGTTCTTTACTACTGCCTCTCATCTCATCAAGTTATTTAGCCTCCTCTCTCCTCCACCTCCACTTTTTCACTAAGGAAGCAGAGGCACTAACAGGTCTGCATGCTCTTTTCTGAATGCTGTGGAGACAAACAAGCTTCAGAACTCAGACTATGCCATGTTTTAAGATAATAAAGCACCACCATAAATATATTAATGTTTCAGCAGTGAAATAAAATAAAAGCACGTTCACACTAAATGGGATGATTAAATGGGCTAAAAAAAAAAAAAAAACCCTCACATCATCTTAGGTCAGGTTAGGTTTTGCCATAAAAAAGTAGCAAAAAAGCTGGACAAGGTAATCCCAACAGCTTGGGAGGCTGAGGCAGAAAGACTTCGAATTCAAAGTCAGCCTCAGCAAAAGCAACACTAAGCAACTCAGTGAGACCCTGCCTCTAAATAAAATACAAAATAGGGCTGGGATGTGGCTCAGTGGTCAAGTGCCTGAGATCAATCCCCGGTACCAAAAACAAAAAAAAGTAAAAAAAGGCCAGGCTAGACGCCTGTAATCCCAGCAGCTTGGGAGGCTGAGGCAGGAAGATCACAAGTTTGAGGCCAGCTTAGTGAGACTATTAACAATTTAGCAAGATCCTATCTCAAAATAAAAAATAAAAAGGGCTAGGGATGTGGCTCAGTGGTAAAAATGCCTCTATGTTCAATCCCTGGCACCAAAAGGAAAAAAAAAAAAAAGTATCAAAAAGTTTAGTTTTCAAAGCTTTGTGGATTATGGAATTGCAGATAAACTTGTCAGACATGAGGCCAGGCACAATGGGACACACCTGTAACCCCAACTACTCAGGAGGCTGGGTTGGGAGTCTGAGGCAGAAGGATTTCAAATTTGAGGCCAGCCTAGGCAACTTAACAAGAACCTGTTTCAAAACAAGAAATAAAATATAGAGGTAATGGGGATATAGTTCAATGGTAGAGTGCCTGGTTCAATGCCGGTACCACTAAAAAAGGTGGGGGAGATAGAATTCTGGATATTCCTATTAATATCTGCCTTTTACAGTTGTAGGAAGTTACTTAATCTGAACCTGTCTTTATGTGTGAAATGAGTATTAATATAGGTATTAACAAAATTTACTGATTCAAATTTCCAGGGCTAAATGAAACAATGTATACAATGTACCTGGCACAGAGTCTAACATAGAAATGAGTCTAACATAGAAATACACAGTAGCTACTATTTAATATGAAAAGTAAAGCTTGGTAAACTTCTTAGATGGTAAGAGTATAAAGAAAGTATGAGTTTTAAAAGGCTAAAACATACTGTCATAGTAAGACAACTTTATAAATTAGTTCAAGGAAAAAGATAAAAATATGGACTACTTAAACTTTCATTGGGCAACCAAATTTGAAAAACAATTTGCAAGTTTAATAACCAGGTCTACAATAAGAACCTGGATCTGTCACCACTCTGCACATCTCCACATGCATTGCATGGCTTGTGATTATGTTCCATTCTAAATTAACCAGTAACTCCTTAAAACATGTTTAAGAAATTTATCTTGGGTTGGGGTTGTGGCTCAGTGGTAGGATAGAGCACTTGCCTAACATGTGTGAGGCACTGGGTTTGATTCTCAGCACCACATATAAATTAAAGTAAAAGTCCATCGACAATTTAAAAAATATTTAACAAAAGAAAAAATAAATTTATCTTTCACCAAGTGTGGTGGCATATACCTATAATCCTAGGTACTCAGGTACGCGAGGCAGGAGGATCACAAGTTCCAGGTCAGCCTGGGCAACTTAACAAGACCCTATCAGAATAAAAAATAAAAAGGGCTGGGGATGTAGCTCAGAGAGTGAGTGCACTAGGTATGAAAAAAAAAAAAAAAAAAACAAACTGGTAGAATGGAGCTCAGAAATCTATGCACATTTGTTTTGAGGACAACTGCCCAAACGTGTTTGCAAAATCATCTTATACTAAATTTACCCAAAAATTCACTTAACCTCTACTCATGCTCTCCTAAGATCTGCCCAGCTAGCTTCTGTTCTACGGGTAATGTGTGTCTGAATTAATTGGGGAATTTAGGGAGAACAGGACCAACAAGAAATGATGATGTACTTCATAGGCACAAATAACTAAGAATATCTTTCATTTTTTATCAGTAGGAAATTAGCCATAACAGTCATCATAAGCACATATGAATTTTTTAATAGCACACAAAGATAAGTTGATCTTAGGAAGATCATGTGCAGTGATATCAAGAGCTTTACTTTAAAACAGTACAAAGTATGGTCTTATTTACACGTAAAAGGCAGAAAATTAAATTCATCAAAACATCAGATCCAATAAAACATGACTGGCATGGTTTGTATATGATATATTTAGTTAACTAGCACATAAAATATATTTATAAAACTTTTTGTTAATACCAGAAGTCTCTGCTCTTAGATTTAAACTAGATTTTTAACGCCCAACAACTAATCACTTCCAAAAGAAAAAAAATCAGATTACTGCAACATGCAATGGAAGAACTCTCTTGATACAGCACAGGGGACCATCCTAGATTGTCTAGATCAGAAAGTGACTGGCACTTGACTCTGCTATTTTATTGTGGGAGCCCTTTATTGACATCTTGAGATTTAAGTAGAATAATCACACACAAAATACTTAAGTGTTTTAAATATGTACAACTCAAGACAATCATTCAAGCATATACTCGAGGACCTAAATTCTCAACCTGGACACTTTAGTATAAGCTACTGATACCACTACTCACTGCTTCACCAGAATGGCTGTATATTTTTCCCACCAAAAGTAGAGCTATTGCACCATACGTTCATGGTCTCTGCAAAGAAAAGAAATCATTGTCTTGGTTTATATTTCCTTTAAAAAGTAAATTTTCTACAAATAATTTTAAGAACCTAGACAGTGAAATCTGAAGTTTTCTCAGTTCTTTTTAATGCAAATGGTACCCACACATACACAAAGTCATTATGGTTATTTGTAAAATGTGCAAAATGATCAGTTCTGAAACACAACTAGATATAACCTTTAATATGCATGTGCCAAAGAATTAAAATGCACAAGCATTTTTAAACACAAAATATGTACTTCATGATTCTTTAATTCATGTCAGGTAAAAAAAAAATAGTTTCAGAAAGATTTTTCAGGGTTCAAATTTGCTTTATAACTATTTAAGATGGGACTAATAAGCAGAATAATGTGTACAAAGAAGCTATTGATCTTAGTAAATAATGTCCCTTCAGACATGGATTGAACAGGTGAGAAACTACCTTTTCAGAAGCCAGAACTGAAGTTTTTACCTTTTGCAGATAATCTTGACTGGTTAAATATTTCTATGCTTGGAATTGCTAAAGTTAGAGCTGTGTTTAAGCAACAAGTCTAAAAGTTTGCAGGCAGATAAAAGATATCCATAATCATTTCTACTGCCCTAAAACAAAGGAACAGAGGCTTTCAAAAAAAAGGGATGGGAGGACTGAGATTGCTGCCCTTTCAGTTTGCTACTGTGGTAAAAGAACGTTTACATCACCAGGTCAGGTGGGATGGTGCACACTTGCAATCCCAGCAACTTGGGAGGTTGAGACAGGAGGATTGCAAGTTAAAGATCAGCACAGTAACTAAGTGAGACCCCATCTCAAAATAAAAAATTAAATCAAAAAGGGCTGGGGATGTTAACTCAGTGGTAAAGCAACCCTGGGGGTTCAATCCCTAGTACAAAAAAAAAAAAAAAGGAATATTTGATATTTACATCTGAGGGTATGCAATCAAGAAACAAAAAATCCAAAATGTAGAAAATTCTATAAGACTTTCTGGGATCCTAATTTGAACAAAACGTAAACAATCTTGGGGCTGGGGTTGTGGCTCAGTGGTAGAGCATTCTCCTAGCACATGTGAGGAACTGGGTTTGATCCTCAGCACCACATAAAATACAGGTATTGTGTTCACCTACAACTAAAAAAAAAAAAAAAAATGAGATGTTCATTTTGAGACTGTTTATGACATTTTAACACTAACTAGAAGTTTAATGGTATAAAGGAATTGTTGCTATTATTTTAAATGTGAATGGTAGTATGGGGTCTTTTTTAAGTATTTATCTTTTTAGAGATCTATACTGAAATATTTATGGTTATGCCTGGAAATTGCTTCAAAATAATTCAGTGAAGGCAACTGTAACAACTTTGACTAAAAAGCAGTGAATGTTGAAGCTAAACAATACATGTATGAAGGTTCATTTCCATAATAAAAGAGTTCAACAAAAGCACCTCATCACTGATTTCTTATTGTCTAAACCATTAATAATTAATAATCACTAAGTAACTTGAAGGAATACTTATTACATATCAAAATTACAAAAGCATAAGATTAAGGAAGAAAAGGAAAACCCAAACTGAATTCATAGTGTTGATTATTCTTACCAGCTAGTATTTAACTGTTTTCATTACACATTGCTAACAAGCTGAATAACAGGCAGGAAATTTAAACTAAGAGAGCTAGAGATGTAGCTCAGTAGTAGAGCAAGCACCAGAACCTGGGTACCATACCTAGCAATGCAACCAAAGAAAGGAAAAAAAAAAAAAAGGAGGCCAGGCATGATGGTGCTTGGGAGGGGACTTGGGAGGCTGAGGCAGAAGGATCAAAAGTTCAAAGCCAGCCTTACTCTTACAATTTAAAAAAAAAAAAAAAGGTAGGGAGTGTGGAGAGCTGGGGATGTCACTCAGTGGAAAACTGCCCCTGGTTTCAATTCCCAGTAGCAAAGGAGGAAAAGAAAAGGCAAAAAGCCCAGGGTAAACTAGAGAACGCATGTTTTACCTAAAGGCATTCAGTTTCAAATAAATATTTCACTAAACAAAATATGTTTTTAACCAGATACTCAAACACCCTCATTTAGTGTGACCATGTCATTTACAGCCAAACAAGATACCTAGAAGAAAGGAGAAATAACACTCAACCAGGATGGTGCAGGCAGGCCCCTTCACGGTATTCACCTTACATGTGCAGTCATGTATTGCTTAATGGTGGGGATATGTTCTGAGAATATCAGTGTATACTTATTAAACTAAGACAGCTATAACTTCCTTGGGTAATATAATCTTATGGGGCTACTATCAAAAAATATGGTTCAAGAATATCATCTGTCCTTTCTAAAATGTCATTATGCAGCACATAAATATATATAAAAGCTGGAGCTTAAGCCTGCTTGTTTATATGTAAGTGAACTGGTCAAAGCCAAACAAATTAGCCTCAGAAGAACTAGAGAGGGGCTGAAGGTACAGTGCTATGGTAGAAAGCACGCTTAACATGCTTGAAGCCCTCGGCTTAATAAATAGCACCAAAATAAATAAATAAATAAAAACAAAAGCAGTAACACTTTTTGCAGTCTGAAGAAAGGCACACGTACGCTGACATAGTCTCCCAAACATTCATTCTTCCCCAATTATCTCAGACAGACAGGAACCAAAGCTTCAGAGCTTTATGTCCTCCAATATTCAAGCTAAGGAAACAGGGAGTGTCCAGAGCAGAAGCCTGGCTACTAATTGAAGAAATTTGCTTGGCTCCAAGACCCATGTTCTTTGTATTATCCCACACAGCCACTAAAATTAAGCACTGAATTTCAGAAATACATATTTTTTTACTTTCTGCTTGAAAGAAAAGTTGCTAGCCCAACTGACTCTTTAATACGAAAGTAGAAAAAAACAAGAGGTTTTAGAATTAAGTTTGAATCCTTATTTTACTTACAAGGCAACTGGCCAAATTAAATGAACCTCAATTTCTTCCTAGATAAATGAAAAATACTACCAGAGCTATAAAAACTAAAGCATGTGGTACAATGCCTGGTAAAAAATAGGTTCTCAATAGGAAACTCCTGTTATTTTTACCTCGAGGTATAATTCTATATCCTATTCAAATGGGATACAAATTATTTTTAAAAGTGACTAATGAGGGCTGGGGATGTGGCTCAAGCGGTAGCACGCTCGCCTGGCATGCGTGCAGCCCGGGTTCGATCCTCAGCACCACATACAAACAAAGATGTTGTGTCCACTGAAAACTAAAAAAAATAAATAAATATTTTAAAAATCTCTCTCTCTCTTTAAAAAAAAAAAAAGTGACTAATGAATATAGTGTAGTCATGGCCTTGGTAGAATTTATTTAAAAAAAAAAAAAAAGAAAGAAAATTTTCTGGATCCATCAGTTAACACCAGAACTATATATGAAATCAGGCAATGAAGGTAAGCGCAGGGCTGAGGCCATGGCTCAGGGTAGAGCATACTAGGTAGCAAAGCCCTTGGTTCAGTACCCAGCACTGGGGAAAACACAAAAACACGGGCGGGGGGCTAGGGGGTTGCCACATGTTATAATGAAAAAGGAACTCAAACTACTCAATCATCGGTCTTAGGATAATTCCTTGAATAGCTAAACCGTAAAGTCACTGTGTTTTATTTCCTCACCATTTCCATGACTGGCTTCTACACGTAGGTTTTAGAAGGCAGGGACTGTGTATCACACACTGTACTCAAAATACCTAGGAGGGTACCACATCACATTACATACCGAAGTGCTCAATAAATATTTTCTTGAATTAAAATGTTGATATGGGATTGGAGATGGAGCTCAATGGTAGAGAGTTTGCTTATCATACATGCAAGGGCCTAGGTTCCATCCCACACTGAAAAACAAATTGAGATTGTCCCCTTAATGGCTTTTTTAACAAATAAAATAGCTCTTTCAAGCCAGATGGACAGATGTAGTGGCACGTGTCACCTGCAATACCAGCTACTATAGTCTCTGCTACTCAAGGAGCTGAAGCAGGAGAATTGCTTTAGTCCCAGAGTTGGAGGCCAGCCTGGACAACATAGCAAGACCCTGTCTCATTAAAAAAAAAAAAAAAAAGAAAAGCTCTTCCAACAGAAGAAATCACTGTTTATAAGAAACACTGTTAGCAAACGAGACCAAATTCAAAATTGCAATTTTCTACCAAAGAAAATTTTTTAAAAATCAAAACACTGACAGAATGAGCACCAAAAAAACAGGAAAGCACTATCCATTCCATTTCTAAAAACAACTTACCTTATTGCACCTTTCTTTTGCAGATTTGAAATTCAGATTCTCTCACAATCACTGGCCTCTTCTGTTTGATTCAATAGCATACACACTAGAGTGTCTCTGTCGCTATTAAATACATCAGTTGAAAGGACACTTGTCTTAGTCTACTTTCTAACTAGGAAACCAGAAGTACAAAAGTCCTAACCCCAAATTTTTTTTTTTTTAATTGCAGAGCAGGGTGGTGCACACCTGTAATCCAAGCTACCTGGAAGGCTGAGGCAGAAGGATGGCAAGTTCAAGGCCATCCTGGGCAACTTAGCAAGATCTTGTCTCAAACTAAAAATAAAAAAAGGGCTGGGTGTATAGCTTGTTAGTAGAGCACCCATAGGTTCAATCCTCACTACACCCCCCCCCCAAAAAAAAGGGTTAGATGTGTAACTGTGGTAGAGTGCTTGCCTAGCATGCATGAAGCCCTGGTTCATTTGCCAGCAACATCAAAAAAAAAAATTAAACAAGGCATGGTACTGCATGCCTGTAATCCCAGCAGCTAGGAAGGCAGGAAGATTCAAAGCCAGCCTCAGCAAAAGCGAGGCACTAAGCAACTCAGTGAGACCCTGTCTCTAAATAAAACACAATAGGGCTGAGAATGTGGCTCAGTCAAGTGCCCCTGAATTCAATCCTTGGTACCTCCCCACAAAAAAAGTTAAGATTAAACAACATACAGAGGGCTGGGGATGTGGCTCAAGCGGTAGCGCGCTCGCCTGGCATGCGTGCGCCCGGGTTCGATCCTCAGCACCACATACAAACAAAGATGTTGTGTCCGCCGAAAACTAAAAAATAGATATTAAAAAAAAAACTTTAAAAAAATAAACAACATACAGAGCAACTGTAACTGCTCCTGTCTTTTCCCCAGAACATCATACTTCAATATAAATTTTAAATGTTTCTTTTTTTCCCCCATACGGAAAAGGATTTCTGAAACTTGATGGGAGGGCAAGGAATTAAAAGTAAAACATACTAATAAGTCATTTCCAAACAGGTGAGACACCATTAGTGTGTGCTATTGCAGGAAACAGAATGGAGAGCAGTGAATGGGAGTCTCTGCACTTCATATCTGCAAAAGAAGAGAATAAAAAGGTTAACTAACTTAAAACAGGTTATCTTTTACTTGTTTAAAGCAGTGCCCATAAACATTTTAAATCAAAAGATGGCCTGGGGGAGTGATGCAATCCCAGCCACTTGGGAAGCTGAGGCAGAAGGAAGGCAGGCTCAAAGTCAGCCTTAGCAACTTAGCAAGGCTCTAAGCAACTTAATGAGACCCTGTCTCAAAATTTAAAAAAGGGCTGGAGATGTGGCTCAGTGTTAAGTGTCCTTGGGTTCAATCCCCGGTACAAAAATTTTAAAAAGGATGAACATGTACTGGTTAAGACAGATTTGTAGATGAACTCTACCTTCTAGTCCTTAAAACAAATTTTCTGGCATGGTGGCCCACACCTGTAATCCCAATATTGGGGAGGTTGAGACAGAGGAACAGCAAGTTAGAGGCCAGCTTCGACAAATTAGCAAAACCTGTCTCAAAAAATAAAAAGGCTTGATGATATAGCTCAATGACAAAGTGCTCCTGAGTGCAAATCCCAGGTGGGGGTGGGGTGGCGATATAAATTTAAATCGCATCTATAGTATTAGAAATTATGTTAAAAAGGATGTGTGTGTGTGCATATATACATACATATACATATATACACATATATATCCTATCTCTTCTTTAAATATTTCTTTTAACTATCATTAAAATTGGCAAAATATTCTTCCCTATTTAATAGTTACCTATGGGGAACTGCTGACAGTAGTAAGAATAACAGTAAAAGGTTTAACTTAACAAACGCTCTTTCCCCAGTAAGGAGTGACAGGTAACCTTTTAAGAACCCATTGCACACACCCCTTTCTCCAACCCTGCTAAAGTTAAAGGTTAATTTGAGGACAGACAAGTGCTCCTGTGCATCTTTTCCGCCATGTAGTACCCTGTTCCCTGCAAAACTCCATCTGCATTTTGCATTAACCCACCCGATCCTGGGTAGGTGAACCAGGGCCAAGTCTCAGGAAGCTGAGAGTGGGAGGCGAGATCCACGACCCCCTCCATCTGCACCCGCGCCCCCTGACCCGTGGCACACCTGCCCGCGCAGGCGCCCACCTGGGGCAGGGACCGCCCTCTCCCAGGCTCGCGCGCTGCCCCACGCGGAGCGCGCGCGACGCGCAGCTCAACCGGAGGGCGGTGCAGGCGGCGGGGCCCCAAGCACAGGAGGCAAAAGCCTGGGAGAAGGGCCGCAGGGGCTCACTCTCTCTCTCGGGACCGAGCCGGCGCAGCGAGCGGGGCACGGGCGCGGTACCTTTTGGACAGATCCATGAGGACCCCGGAGAAGAGCTTCTCTCCGAGGCGGAACGACACGACGAGCGCGTCCTCAATGATGTGGTCCAGAGTGACCCGCACCTCCGAGCCGGGAATCAATTGCGACACCGCGGAGTCCCCGCCCGCCGGCGGCACCAGCGCCGGAGCTGTGGGCTGGGGCAGCGGCGTGTCCTCGCGCTCCTCGGGAGCCGGGGGCTGCTCGCAAAGCGGCTCTGGGGAAGGTGGAAGGTCCGGCCCTTCTTGAGACGCCGCAACCGCCGGCTCCGCCACCCGGACGGGTAGCTTCTCCTCAGCCTCCAGCTCCGGCCCCGCCGCCTCCGGGCTGCGGGCGAGCTCCCCTGGCGGCGGCGGCGGCGGCGGGAGCGGCGGCTCGTCGGCCTGAGGAGCGGACTGCTGCCCGTCGGCCTCGCCGTCCGGCACAGACGCTTCAGTGGCCGTGACCGGGAGGGGGTCAGTGCCGGCCTCGCTGCCGGGGATGGGCTCCATCTCCGGCTCGGCCTCGCCGGCGCCCCCCTCCCCGGGGGACGCAGCAGTCGCTGCCGCCTCTGCAGCCACGGCCGCCATTTTCTTCCTGGCTTCTCCCTCCTCCAACTCCGGCTGCGGCGGTGGCGGCACCGCTGCTTGGTTCCCTAGGCCTTCCCCTCCCTCCCGCGAACAGTTTCGTCCCGCCCTTTCCCTCATGCTCGCTATTGGCACCGCGCCATTGGCTCCATCCTACACCCCTCCCGCACTTGTGCTATGCCATTGGTCAGGCCAGGACGTCTTTCATCTAGTCAGTCCATCCCTCCCACACAGAATAAGAACTTCTCATTGGTCGGATGAGTTGTCAAATGTAGAATCTGAGAGGAGGAGTCGGGGTGGGCTCAGAGGGGGCGGGGAAAATCACAAAAGCCGAGCTCCATACTTTATTTCCTCTTTCTATTGGTTCAAAGGGAAAATGTAGCTTTATGATTGGCTTAAGCTCCTGCCCATTATCAGTCCCGGTCTTCGGAGGTGGGAGAAAGGACGAGATCACGTGGTGCGCTTGTTCTTTCAAAGATGACGGAGGGGAGGAGTAACGGGAGAATACGGGAGGGGGAACCACTTCCCAAGAATCTCTGCGCAGAGATCCTTAGAATAAATGTTATTTCTAGGGGCGGACCTGCTTGTGGCAGAGTGTTGGTACGACAGGCGTCTTTGGGAAGAACAACTAAAGTTGAGAATAATTTTGCAAGCACTTTTTGAGCCCCTACTCTGGTCTTCACTTTACTAGTATGGCTATAGTATGATGTACGATACATTCCCCATAATCTCAAGGCAGCCGCTCGAGTCTCCACACAAGGAGTGTTTTCCTTCACTTTTTAGGAACAAAGAAAGAATCTCCACTTTCCAGGAATTTAGTAATTTCAAAGAAGGAAAATGCTAATGAAAGAGAAGAGACACCTTCCCCCTAGACAAAGTGAAAGCAATCCTGAGACATTGCTCATTCTCTCCAAAAATGGGACACACCTGGTCCCTGGCAAGCATTCTTTCTTTCCTGACCTGTCCTATTTGGGCCTATTTGGGTATTAAAAGTCTCTCTTCAGTGTCCTGATGCACCTCCTTCTCTACTTTCATTTTAAGTCTCTTGATTTGTTTGGAAGAATCTGAATGTGTTTCTCTCAGACTGCGCCTCAGTCAGTCCTTTTCTATGGAAGAACAGAGATTGTTAGGCAGTGAGTATGCTTACAGGACAGAGGGAAGAAAAGTTTCCGATGTTGAGGGAAACAAAAATGGAATTATAAAGAATAATTGCAGCTAACATTTTTTGAGTATCGTGCACTAGGTACTAGTATACTGTAATATACCTCTCATTTTATACTTACAGGTACTATTATTATACGTGTTTTATTAAAAATTGAGCTACAAAGAGGCTGCTAAGACCACTCACCTGCTAAACTGCACAGTCAGAATTCCAGTTTTGCATTAAAAAGCCCAAAAATGGCAATAAGCAAATATTGTTATGTGTCCTATTTATTTCACATCAGGTGGCTCTTGGGAAAAATCCAGTAGGAGATGTCAAACAGGAAAGTTTTAGAATCTAACAGAAGGAAATAAATGTACTTAGTGTTCATTCTGTAGCAGGGATTAGGAAGCAGAGTCTTAGGTTAAGGAGTTTGCACTCGCCTAGCATGGGTGAAGCCCTGCTTTTCCCAGCGAAGTTGGGGGCGGGAGGCCGGGTCTGTTATCTCTTGCAGGCAAGATGCTTTCCTTCATGACACCCTGTCTAGAGTTCACCACAATGAGTTAACCATACATATAGGCTGTGAAATTCTGAGACCCTGAGTTTACAAATTGTGTAATCTCCCACAGGGAGAAAAAAAAATCTAACTTGGGTCCTAGGACCTTATTGCTTCTTATAGCAATTAATTGCAAGATACTGCAGTGAATAATTTACATTTCACATTTATATTGTGACATAGTAAGTCACCTCCTAAACTGTCATTTTCATTCTGCAACTCAAGTCTCTGTTGGCCTGCTATGTTGACCTCAAGTGTACCATGTTCTGCTTTACTTTCAGGGCCCTCTCTGTTCTCACCCTACCTTTCAAGATCTATTCTCCACTAGTCCTCAGGCCTTCTAATTCTGGGAATATCTGATCATCCATCCTTCATCCATTTATTCATTTATTCATTCAGCAAATAAATATTGAAGGCCAACTGTGCATCAGTTACTGGGATAGGCAAGTAGAAGGCATGCCATAAAGGTTACAAAAGATCTAGTAACTGCCTTTCTGAACCTTTTTATTTTTCCTAGTAGTAAAGCTAAGAAATAATCCAAAAAATGAATAAACAAGGGGCTGGGGTTGTGGCTCAGCAGTAGAGCGCCCGCCTAGCATGTGCAAGGCGCTGGGTTCAATCCTCAGCACCACATAAAAATAAATAAAATAAAGGCATTGTGTCCAACTACAACTAAAAAAACTTTTAAATGAAGAAACAAGATGAGGGCTGGGGATGTGGCTCAAGCGGTAGTGCGCTCGCGTGGCATGCGTGCAGCCCGGGTTCGATCCTTAGCACCACATACAAAGATGTTGTATCTGCCAAAAACTAAAAAATAAATATTAAAAAATTCTCTCTCTCTCTCTCTCTCTCTCTCTCTCTCTCTCTCTCTCTCTCTCAAAAAAAAAGGAGAAAAGCTTTATTTATGAAAAAAAAGAAACAAGATGATGATGGATTGTGAGTAATATTATAAGAGATATAAACAGGGTAAGGTGACAGCAGATGGGAGAGGCAAAACAGTGTCTCCTCTAGAAAGGACAGATAAGGTGGGCTGAAAATGTCTCTCTAAAGACAGGACATTTTAATTAAGATACAAAGGAAAAGAAAGAGCCAGCTATTGACATTGCCAGGTGTACATTGGGGTCAAAAATAACAGCAATTGTTTAAAGTTCTGAGGCAAAAGAGAGCTTGACTTGTTCCAGTGTGGTTGAAGAGGAATGAACACCAAGATGAGTGGGTGAGATGAGGTTGGGAAGGAAAACAAGGCCTAAATCATATGTCAAGTATACAAAAGTAAGGAATTCTGCCCTCAGGGAACTCCAGATCTAGTGGGGAACCTGGCTTTTACATTTGCTGTTGTCTCCTGGTCACTTCTGCAGTCACTGTCCTTCTGGCATAGAACTGGCATAGAGGAGCCCCTTGATGTTTATGTCATGGATATCCACATGCTATGTGTGGCTAGCTAGATAGTGAGCCAGTGGATAGTTGGAGGATTGGACAGATGGTTGACTAGATGGATGGATGGATGTTTGGATGGATGATTGGCAGGGATAAGCAATCCAGCTGGTTGCTTCAGCAGATCCTCTCTGTCACAGACTTTGATTTCAAGCTCTGCAGGGTACTATAATTTAGTGACTAAAAACTCGAGTAGATGTGAACAAACCTGTGTCTGACTCCCCAGTCAGAGTTATGACTCGCTATACTAAGAATGATCTTAGGCAAGTTGCTTAGCCTCTATTTGCTCATTTATAAGCTATTTTGTACATATTGTGTAATCTCACTTGTATCTTAATAATAACTATTTACCAATAGGGTTTGTTTTTTAATTATATAAAGTAAAAAGGGCATAACATATATCCTCAATCATAGTAAAAGTAGCTCAATATCTGTTAGCAACAAGGTGTAGAAACTTAGTCTTATTGTACATGAGGGGTATTGACTCCCCAATAATCAAACTTGTTATCATTAAGCAAAAAATTGAAACACTAGGATGTTGATACATGAAGAAGGATAAATATATTTAAATATGGCTTAGTGGTTATTTTTGTGGTCCTGGATTTTGTGGGAAGTCCAATTATAGCGAGAAGAAAACATGGGGAGTAAAGACTCGTTCAGGACAAAGGGAATGGATTTTCTCATAGGACATAACTGCCAAATCATAGCGACTAATTGAGTTGTTCCTCCAATTCTGTGTCTAATTTCCAGGTAGGTAACCAATATTTCTCTTCTATAATCAGTTCTTCTGCTCCAAGACTGAGATGGAGATAGATGACTACTGACAAATGTGTCAATCATTGACTCTGTCACTATGTCTCAATAGTTCTCAATGTATCAGGGGATCTCTATGAGAAACAGCCTGAAAGTTATTTTGTACATATGGTGGGATCTCATAAAAACAAGTAAAACAAATGATGCTGGGCTTGGGGTTTTCTTATTTTTGTTTTGTTTTGTTTGTGGTGCTGGGGATTGAATCCAGGACTTTGTGCATGTGAGGTAAGCATTCTACCAACTGAGTATATACCCAGCCCCTTAGGGTATTTTTATAGTACTGGGAGTTGAACCCAGGACCTTGTGCATACTAGGCAAGTACTCTGCCACTGACCTACTTCATCCCTAGGCCTTTGGGTTTTATCTTATTGCAGATTCACTCAGGCTGGCCTCAAACTTGCAATCCTCCTGCCCCAACTTCCAGAGCAGCTGAGATTACAGGTTTGCATAAATGTACCTGTCTTCAAATTGATGCTATCAGAAATCAGGATATAGGGTTATTCTCTGCAGGGGGTAAGGAGGAGCAGAGCAGCTAGTGACTAACAGGGAATATGAGTGGGGTTTGCTGGATTCTGATAATTTCTGTTTCTTGGTCTGGGTACTGGTTACACAGGTATGCCCAGCTTTTAAATATGCATCAAGGAAGCCAGGCAGGGTGGCACACACTTGTAATCCCAGCAACTCCAGAGATTGAGACAAGAAGATTGCAAATTCAAGACCAGCCTGGGCAATTTAGTGAGAGCCTGCCTCAAAGTAAAAATTAAAAAAGACTGATGTCTCAGCTTAGTGTTAAAGTATTCCTGGGATCAATCCCCAGTATCTCAAAAAATACAAATAAAAAATAAAAAGGACTGAGGATGTACTTCATTGGTAAAAAACACACTTGGGTTCAATCCCCAATATAAAAAAAATAAAATAAAATAAAAAATCAAGGGGTGGGGAGTATTGCTCAGTGGTAGAGTGCTTACCTAGTATGTAGGAAGCCCTGTGTTTGGTCCCAAGAACAGAAAAAAAAATTAAAATTTAAAAAAGTACATCAGGGTCTGAGGTTATGGCTCAGTGGTAGAATAGTTGCCTAGTATGTGTGAGGCACTGGGTACGATTTTCAGCAA